AGTTTCTTTTGGATAGCTGTTTTCCAGGTCATCTCAGAGTTATCTGCCAGTATTAGATAACCCTTGTGTAAAGAGTATGGTTTATAAGGTAGCACCAGCCAGAGACAAGACACAGAATTCTGTTTTGATTGGGATTATTGTTTAAAACAAAGCTTTTACAAATCAAGGAGCTTCATCTCTTCTCTTCTAGAAATTGTTACTATTTTGTTTTCAAATTCTTACCTTTTGTCTTTTATTTCATCTGTAATTCTGTACTTGTACTGTATCTGTACCTTTTCGCAATTGTGGCTTTTTGGAATTCCAGGCCCTATTCTTGGCCCTCCCCACCTCCCCTCCCCCCACAGTCACAAAGGCTGAGGTGGCGTTGACTCTCCCTGGAAGCCTGCAGCTTCCTCTGGCCAAAGACGTGCTGGTGGCTGCTCCTCTGGTCTGCTTCTAGGTCTACTTCAGTGTCACCAGACTTAAGCCTCAAAGAGGCCCAGGCCTAATCTCACTGTATTTGCCCGCCTTGAACTGCTTCACATTGCCAGGGCCTGGCCTTTCAAAGCAAAATGAACCCCTATACATTTCATATGGTAATTTAACAGTCTTCAAGAAATCTGCCATCATTCCCTGACTCCAGTGAAATTTCCTTCCAAGCTGCCTTGTTCAGCTAGGGCCCGCTTGTTTGGAAAAGGTCCACTGACACTGTGCTGCACCTTTTTTTTAAAAAAAAGGCCACCTTGCTGAGAAAGGTAGGGGGCATCTTAAAGGGAAATGAGGGGGGAACACAGGCATTCCCATTGCTGCACAGCCTTCCACTGATCCCACGGCTGCCATTTTTGCTTTTAGAAGAAGCCTCCCCCTCCCCCCACTAAATGGCACGGTCCTGCCTTCAAAAAACAGACCCTTTTAGTGTGCCATGGAAGGAAGACGTGACCCAGAGTGTTATTGAGGTTTGCTGGGAAAAGGAGAGGGCTCCTCTCTTCACAGCATCAGATCCAGCTGCGATTCCCTCTCCTCATACCTCACGTTATCGACAATTGAAATAATTTTTTCAACTTTAACCCCAGTAAATGCTTGCTATGTTGGAAACACATCTAATTCTCTTTGTGGTATTTTTCGGAGCAAAATGAACCCCTATACATTTCATATGGTAATTTAACAGCCTTCAAGAAATGCTCCGTACTTTACCCACCACTGGCAGGAATAATTGGACTTTTCCTCATATACAGTCTGTAATGCTTTGTGATGCCAGTGGTTCAAATGAAGGGATTAAAAAGCTCCATGTTACAATATCCTGAGGCACATCTAAAAGTTCAGCATGAGATAAACAAGGTTTACATTTAGAATATAGTTTATATAAAGAGGTTTGAAACCAGTCTCCATCATGGTCAGGAAATTAACTAGTCATTTAAGATACTCTTCCACAGGGCTGAGACCAGCTGTGGTAACATGAATAACTTTTATTTATGCTTCCTCTCCATCAGTTCATTATTGTTATGAACATCCAAAAGAACATTAAATCCTCATTTTTACTAAAATGAGATTCCTACAGAAGGGGGGAAAAATGCATTGACTTCCACACAAATTTATTTTGTATCTTAACAATTTTTTATTTGTACAGGGAACTATGAAAAGGGGAAAATACTTATGTCAACTTCTTTAACAGAATGCTGTTTACTAGAGTTATGCGCTGTTTTGGAAATAATTCAAAAAAGATGGTGTGTAATATGTAAGAGGATGCTCATTTTATCTGTAACTTTTTAAAGTAGCTAAGTCTTTTCTGGGATTGCATAGCTGCCCTCTGCCATTGCTAAGTGATTCGAAAGACACAACTGCTTTAAAAAGCTGTACAGAGTTTTTACATTCATCGTCTAAAGCACCTCTTGGGAATCAAATCCAACATGTTGCATATTCCTACCACTTATATCTGATTTTCCATTCACTGTAAGACAAAACAAAAACAAAAAACCTTCAAGGTTTTTAAATGCAATTTTATTTTTTACCTACCATCAGAATTATTTAGATACATTTTTAAAAAAATATTGTCAACATCCAAAAAGCTGGATATTATATCAAGTTTGAATGATAAATTATATGTCTGTTTAGAAAGGTGGCAAGCAGTCAACTTTTCAGCAGGAATCAAACAATGTATTGTGGTAGAAATCCCATCCTTTTTATGCTCTTCTCATGTGCCAAGAATACCAACAGATCTTTCCTAAACATCATTATACCATTTTGATTGATACCATGTCAACTGGATAACTTATTCTCAAATACCTTTCTTTGTTTTCTAAAGAGTGAAGCTGCTACCCTTCCGTAGATAGCATTTGAAATAGTGGATTGGGGTTACTTACAGTGCATTCGGAAAGTATTGAGACCCCCTTCACTTTTTTCAATTTTGTTATGTTGCAGCCTGATACTACAA